TTGGGTGGTCTCTGGTGTGGAGGAGGGGGCTGCTGTGGTGCTGGTTGCAGCAGGTGAGGTTGTCCTGGATGTCAGTCCTGGTGTGGTTTGGGTGGTCTCTGGCATGGAGGAGGTGGCTGCTATGGTGCTGGTGGTCGTGGGTGATGTGGTCCTAGAGGTCCGTCGTGGCGTGGTTTGAGTGGTCGCCTGAGTGGTCGAGGGGGATGTCGTGGCTCCTGTGGTGGCAGTGGGTGAGGTGGTCCTGGAGGTCAACCCTGGTGTGGTTTGGGTGGTCTCTGGACTGGAGGAGGGGGCTGCTGTGGTGCTGGTGGTAGCAGGTGAGGTGGTCCTGGAGGTCATCCCTGTTGTGGTTTGGGTGGTCGCCTGAGTGGTCGAGGGGTATGTCTTGGCTACCGTGGTGGCAGTGGGTGTGGTTGTCCTGGAGGTCAGCCGTGGTGTGGTTTGGGTGGTCTCTGGCGTGGAGGAGGTGGCTGCTATGGTGCTGGTGGTCGTGGGTGATGTGGTCCTAGAGGTCCTTCCTGGTGTGGTTTGAGTGGTCGCCTGAATGGTCGAGGGGGATGTCGTGGCTCCTGTTGTGGTAGTGGGTGAGGTGATCCTGGAGGTCAACCCTGGTGAGGTTTGGGTGGTTTCTGGACTGGAGGAGGTGGCTTCTGTAGTACTGGTGGTAGCTGGTGAGGTGGTCGTGGAGGTCAACTGTGGTGTGGTTTGGGTGGTCTCCTGAGTGGTCGAGGGGGATGTCGGGGCTCCCGTGGTGGCAGTGGGTGAGGTTGTACTGGAGGTCAACCCTGGTGATGTTTGTGTGGTCTCTGGCATGGAGGAGAGGGATGTCATGGTGCTGGTGGTAGATGGTGATGTGGTCCTGGAGGCCGGTCCTGGTGTGGTTTGGGTGGTCTCTGGCGTGGAGGGGGGGGCTACTGTGGTGCTGGTGGTAGTAGGTGAGGTGGTCCTGGATGTCAGCCCTGGTGTGGTTTGGGTGGTCACCTGAGTGGTAGAGCGGGATGTCGTGGCTCCTGTGGTGGCAATGGCTGAGGTTGTCCTGGAGGTTACCCCTGGTGGTGTTTGGGTGGTCTCTGGCATGGAGGTGGGGGCTGCTGTGGTGCTGGTGGTAGCGGGTGAGGTGGTCCTGGAGGTCAGCCCTGGTGAGGTTGGGGTGGTCTCTGGCGTGGAGGAGGGGGCTGCTGTGGTTCTGGTGGTAGCGGGTGAGGGGGTTCTGTTTCTCTGCCGTGCTGTGATTTGGGTGGTCTTTAAGGTAGAGGTGGAGCTTACTGTGGAGCTGGTGGCAGAGGGTGAGGTGGTCCTGGAGGTAAGCCCTGGTGTGGTTTGGGTGGTCTCTGGACTGGAGGAGGGGGCTGCTGTGGTACTGGTGGTAGTGGGTGAGGTGGTCCTGGAGGTCAGCCCTGGTGAGGTTGGGGTGGTCTCTGGCGTGGAGGAGGGGGCTGCTGTGGTCGTGGCATTCGGTGAGGTGGTCCTGGAGGTCATCCCTGTTGTGGTTTCGGTGGTCGCCTGAGTGGTCGAGGGGTATGTCTTGGCTACTGTGGTGGCAGTGGGTGTGGTTGTCCTGGAGGTCAGCCATGGTGTGGTTTGGGTGGTCTCTGGCGTGGAGGAGGTGGCTGCTGTGGTGCTGGTGGTCGTGGGTGATGTGGTCCTAGAGGTCCGTCCTGGTGTGGTTTGAGTGGTCGCCTGAATGGTCGAGGGGGATGTCGTAGCTCCTGTGGTGGCAGTGGGTGTGGATGTCCTGGAGGTCAACCCTGGTGTGGGTTGGGTGGTCTGCGGCGTAGAGGAGGGGGCGGGTGTGGTGCTGGTGGTCATAGGTGATGTGGTCCTAGAAGGCAGCCCTAGTGTGGTTTGTGTGGTCTCCTGAGTGGGCGAGGGGGATGGCGTGGCTCTCGTGGTGGCAGTGGGTGAGGTTGTCTTGGACGTCAACCCTCGTGAGGTTTGGGTGGTCTCTGGACTGGAGGAGGTGGCAGCTGTGGTGCGGGTGGTGGCGGGTGAGGTGATCCTGGAGGTCAGCACTGCTGTGTTATGGGTGGTCGCCTGAGTGGTTGAGGGAGATGTCGTGGCTCCCATGGTGGTAGTGGGTGAGGTTGTCCTGGAGTGCAGCACTGGTGAGGTTTGGGTGGTCTCTGGACTGGAGGAGGGGGATGTCGTGGTGTTGGTGGTAGTGGGTGAGGAGGTCCTTGAGGTCAGCCCTGGTGTGGTTTTGGTGGTCTCTGTTGTGGAGGAGGGGGCTGCTGTGGTGCTGGTGATAGCAGGTGAGGTGGTCCTGGAGGTCAGCCTTGGTGTTGTTTGGGTGGTCACCAGGGTGGTCGAGCGGAATGTCATGGCTCCTGTGGTGGCAGTGGGTGATGTCCTGGACGTCAGCCCTGCTGTGGTTTGGGTGGTCTCCTGAGTGGTCGAGGGGGATGTTGTCGCTCCTGTGGTGGCAGTCGGTGAGGTTGTCCTGGAGTGCAGCACTGGTGTGGTTTGGGTGGTCTCTGGTGTGGAGGAGGGGGCTGCTGTGGTGCTGGTGGTCGTGGGTGAGGTGCTCTTGGAGGTCAGCCCTGGTGAGGATTGGGTGGTCTCTGGCATGGAGAAGGGGGCTGCAGTGGTGCTGGTGATCATGTGTGATGTGGTCCTAGAGGTCTGTCCTGGTGTGGTTTGGGTGGTCGCCTGAGTGGTTGAGGGTGATGTCGTGGCTCCTGTGGTGGCAGTGGGTGAGGTTGTCCTGGAGGTCAGCCCAGGTGTGGTTTGGGTGGTCTCTGGTGTGGAGGAGGGGGCTGCTGTGGTGCTGGGGGTCGTGGGTGATGCGGTCCTAGAGGTCCGACCTGGTGTGGGACCACCCAAACCACACCTGGGCTGACCTCCAGGACAACCTCACCTGCTGCAACCAGCACCACAGCAGCCCCCTCCTCCAGACCAGAGACCACCCAAACCACACCTGGGCTGACCTCCAGGACAACCTCACCTGCTGCAACCAGCACCACAGCAGCCCCCTCCTCCAGACCAGAGACCACCCAAACCACACCTGGGCTGACCTCCAGGACAACCTCACCTGCTGCAACCAGCACCACAGCAGCCCCCTCCTCCAGACCAGAGACCACCCAAACCACACCTGGGCTGACCTCCAGGACAACCTCACCTGCTGCAACCAGCACCACAGCAGCCCCCTCCTCCAGACCAGAGACCACCCAAACCACACCTGGGCTGACCTCCAGGACAACCTCACCTGCTGCAACCAGCACCACAGCAGCCCCCTCCTCCAGACCAGAGACCACCCAAACCACACCTGGGCTGACCTCCAGGACAACCTCACCTGCTGCAACCAGCACCACAGCAGCCCCCTCCTCCAGACCAGAGACCACCCAAACCACACCTGGGCTGACCTCCAGGACAACCTCACCTGCTGCAACCAGCACCACAGCAGCCCCCTCCTCCAGACCAGAGACCACCCAAACCACACCTGGGCTGACCTCCAGGACAACCTCACCTGCTGCAACCAGCACCACAGCAGCCCCCTCCTCCAGACCAGAGACCACCCAAACCACACCTGGGCTGACCTCCAGGACAACCTCACCTGCTGCAACCAGCACCACAGCAGCCCCCTCCTCCAGACCAGAGACCACCCAAACCACACCTGGGCTGACCTCCAGGACAACCTCACCTGCTGCAACCAGCACCACAGCAGCCCCCTCCTCCAGACCAGAGACCACCCAAACCACACCTGGGCTGACCTCCAGGACAACCTCACCTGCTGCAACCAGCACCACAGCAGCCCCCTCCTCCAGACCAGAGACCACCCAAACCACACCTGGGCTGACCTCCAGGACAACCTCACCTGCTGCAACCAGCACCACAGCAGCCCCCTCCTCCAGACCAGAGACCACCCAAACCACACCTGGGCTGACCTCCAGGACAACCTCACCTGCTGCAACCAGCACCACAGCAGCCCCCTCCTCCAGACCAGAGACCACCCAAACCACACCTGGGCTGACCTCCAGGACAACCTCACCTGCTGCAACCAGCACCACAGCAGCCCCCTCCTCCAGACCAGAGACCACCCAAACCACACCTGGGCTGACCTCCAGGACAACCTCACCTGCTGCAACCAGCACCACAGCAGCCCCCTCCTCCAGACCAGAGACCACCCAAACCACACCTGGGCTGACCTCCAGGACAACCTCACCTGCTGCAACCAGCACCACAGCAGCCCCCTCCTCCAGACCAGAGACCACCCAAACCACACCTGGGCTGACCTCCAGGACAACCTCACCTGCTGCAACCAGCACCACAGCAGCCCCCTCCTCCAGACCAGAGACCACCCAAACCACACCTGGGCTGACCTCCAGGACAACCTCACCTGCTGCAACCAGCACCACAGCAGCCACCTCCTCCAGGCCAGATGCTGTGATTTGGGTGGTCTTTAAGGTAGAGGTGGAGCTTACTGTGGAGCTGGTGGCAGAGGGCGAGGTGCTCCTGGAGGTCAGCCCTGGTAAGGTTTGGGTGGTCTCTAGTGTGGAGGAGGGGGCTGCGGTGGTGCTGGTGTTAGTGCTTGAGGTGGCCCTGGAGGTCAGCCCTGGTGAGGATTGGGTGGTCTCTGGACTGGAGGAGGGGGCTGCTGTAGTGCTGGTGGTAGCAGGTGAGGTGTTCCTGGGGGCCAGCTCTGATGGGGTATGGGTGGTCTCCTGTGTGGAGTAGAGTGCTGCTGTCGTGCTGGTGGTTACTGGTGACGTGGTCCTGGAGGTCAGCCCTAGTGTGGTTTGCGTGGTCTCCAGCGTGGACAAGGGGACTATTTTCAAGCTTGTGGTCATGGGCGAGGTGGCCGTGTTGGTCAGCACTGGGGTGTGGGTTATCTCCAGGGTGGATGAGGGGGCTGTCGTGGATGTGGTGGTGGGGGGCAAGGTAGTCCTGGTGGTGTGCTGTAGTGTGATTTGGGTGGTCTCTGGTGTGGCGGAGGGGGCTGCTGTGCCTCCTGTGGTGGCGGCGGGCGAGGTGGCGCAGTGGCTGTAGTTTTCACAGCATAGCAGGCGCACGTGGAAGTTGAGACAGTAGGGCAGGGACCTGGGCTGCTCACGGTTCCTACACACCAGCCCAACGCTCACGTTGCACTGGACAACCTGCTCCAGTGCCTCCAGGGGCTGGTCCGGCGCCTTCTCGGCGCGGCACTCGATGTCCTGGGGCTGATCGCAGAAGGCATGGCCAGCTGCGCGGATGACCGTGTAGGTCTCGAAGTCCCCGCCGTCGGGGCCAGGGGTGGGGTAGTCCTCATCGAACCAGTCTGTCCAGGCGCACTGTGGCCTGCAGCCTGGGCTGGGGGATGGGGTCCAGGCGGACGTTCTGGTGCTGGGCTGTGGGGGGCTGGAGGAGAGGGTGGTTGCCAAGGTGGGCCCGGTGCTGGAGGATGCTGGGGTCAAGTGAATGCGAGAGGTCAGCAGGGGGACCGTGTGGGGGGCGCTGGTGGAGGCCGATCTCAGGGATGTTGTTGGGTTCCCAGCGGTGGGCTGCTCTGAGGTATGGAAGAGGCTGGTGGTGGTGGCTGTAGGTGTAGAGGGGCTGTGGATGGAGATGCTCTTGGTGATCCCAGAGAGGGTGTGGCCTGTGTGGGTGGTGGGGATGGAGACCCTCTCGGTGGCCCTGGAGAGGGTGCCTGTCTGAGTGGTGGGGACGGAGAGGCTCTTGGCGGTCCTGGGTGAGGTAAGGCTCTGCTGGGGGTGTTGGGTGGTGGCCGTGGTGCGGGGTCTGGGCGGGGGCGTGGTGGCGCTGGGGCAGAGGCTGTAGTCGTCGCAGCAGAGCACGCGCACGTTGTAGTTGAAGCACATGTTGAACCTCCCGGTTTGGTCCTCGTTCCTGCACACCAGCCCCGTGTCCAGGCTGCAGTTCACCACCTGCCCGATCTGGTCGATGCTCACCTCGGGGTAGTTCTCTGCCCGGCACTCGATCTTCTGTGGGTCCCAGCACATCTTGCCCCCAGCAGCTCTGATGTTTTCGAAGGTCTCCATGTCTCCTCCTGCAACCCCTGAGATGGGAAAGTCCACGTCAAACCATTCTGTCCACTCGCACCGGGGTTGACACAGCGTTGCACCCTGGCTGGTGGAGGCCTTGGTCGAGGTGCCCGGTGGCATCTCTGACTTGAGTGCGCTGGTCTGCACGTGGCTGGTGGACGGCCAGCTCGTGCGTGTTGTCAGCAGCAGGCTGGTGGTCAGAGGCCCTTTGGAGAGGGTGCTGGCTGTGCCTGTCGGTACTCCTGTTTGCGGGTGAGCTGTGGAGGTTTGCTTTGTTACTGGGGCTGGTGTGGGCAGCTGTGAGATGCCTGGAGTGCCAGTACTGCCAATGGTCCCTGGCAAGGTCGTGTGAGTTGGAAGGACTGACGTGGTTCCCCCTGGGATGGTGGGTCCTGTGGAGACTGGAGAAGCCGTGAGGCTTCCCGTGGTGGCTGTAACAAAGGTTTCCGTGTGGCTAGGGATTGTTGATACTTTTGAGGGGGTGGATCCTGCTGTGGTGCTGGCTGGGGAAGTCCAGGTCACCTCTGGACTACTCCTGGGTGATGGCATTGAGGACAGGGGTGGGGTGGCTGTGGTGGCTGTCCCCTGCTCTGTGGCTGGCGTCGTGGTGCTGGTGCTTCCCTGGCAGTGGTCGGTGCTGCAGCAGAGCATGCGGATCCGGTAGTTGTAGCACATCTTGAACAGGCCCGCCTGCTCCTGGTTCCTGCACACCAGGCCAAAGCTGAGGTCACAGTGTGCACGCTGGCCCACCTCCTCCAGGGTCTGGTTGGGGAAGTTCTCAGCCTCACACTGTATGTCTTGCGGCTGCTCACAGATGTCCCCTCCGGCAGCCCTGATTTTATCATATGACTCGATGTCCCCCCCAGCTTCTTCAGACTTGGGGTAATCCTCATCAAACCACACTGTCCACTGACATCGGGGTCGACAGGTGGTGCTCGGGGCTAGGGGGCTGGTGACCAGGCTGGTGGCCGTTGCCATGGGCGAGACAGACCTGGTCTGTGCTGTGAGGGCAGCTGTGGACTGGGAGCCCGGTGTGGCCTGCAGGGTGGTTTCTTTGGTTGCTATGGTCTGGGTGGGTGTGGGCCAGGATGTGAGGGGTGCTGTCCCAGTGGCGGTGGAAGCCACAGTGGGCTCCGTGGTGGCCCCAGGCTGGGTGGTGGCACTGGGGGAGGGTGAGGGGCTGGTGCCCGGGACTGGGGTGGGGTTGCAGGGCACATAGTCACAGCACAGAACACGCAGCTCATAGTTGTGGCAGAGCGAGGGGCTCTGCTCGCTGTTGAGGCATGTCAGCCCCTGAGTCCGGTCACAGTCCACCTTCTGGCCCAGGACCTCCAGGGGCCTGGAGGGGAACCGCTGTGCCCTGCATTCAATGTCAGCCGGAGCCTGGCAAACCTGATATCCTCTGTTCCTCAGGTTGGCAAATGTTTCGAAGTCTCCACCTCCCATGCTGGGCTCTGGGCGGTCGCCGTCATACCAGGCAGACCAGTGGCAGACCTCGCGGACACACACGGTAGACAGGGCGGGGGCTGAGCCTGCATGGGAGGGGCGGGAGAGGGGCCCCTGTTCAGCCTCCTCTGGCTCTTGCCTCCTGAGGAGGAGGGTGTGAGAGGTACCCATTGCCCAGGGCTGGCTTCCATGCCTCTATGGGGTCAGGGGCACCCCAAAGCCTGCCCCAAGCCTTGTTTAGGTGAGGGACTGGGCCTGGCAGCCAGTCATGATGGAGCCAGCAGCTGGGACGGGCCACTCTGAGGGACAGGGCAGAGGCTGGGAAGGTTTTTTGTCCTCTTGAGGGGAGCCCCGCCAGTCATGGTGCTAAGACTTCCTGGGGAGCCCCGGGGCACCTGCTCTGAGTGCCTGCTGGTCTTTCCTCGCCACCCAGATGGGCCTCACCTGTCATGGGGGGCAGGGCCGAGGTGGTGGTGAAGGTGAATGGTGTCGTGGACAGGGTTCCGGGACATTCCACGGCCCTCCGGATGATTGTTCCGTTGTTTCCACAGATGGCGGTTAAACAGCCGCCTAGCCCATCGGTGGTGTTGTAGATGACATCGTTGTAATCATAGGTCCTGCCCTCGTAGGTGCAGGTGCAGGCTGGGGGATGGGGCAGGCGCCAGGTCACGCGGGGCCTCATGGCGCCAGCCCCTCACCCCGCCCCACCGGCCCCTTCCTCACCTGTGAGGCTGTGAGTGCACTGGAGGCCGCTGTGGGTGCAGTTACTGGGAGCAGGGAGAGAGGGCTGAAGGCCTGTGGGGCAGCCCCGACCCGCTCCCGGCCCCGTTGCCCCATCCCGGCCCCCAGCCCCTGGCTGCCACTCACCAGCTCTGGCAGTTCTCGGCTGTGGGGACCCTTGAGCCAATGTCATAGTAGAGTCCGTCCTCCCCGTAGCAGCCGCACTGGGCCACGCACTGCATGTGGTCCTCACTGAAGAAGGGCTTGCTGGGCGGGCATTGGGGGTAGCAGCCTGGGGCAGGCACAGTGGGCAGGAGGCTCGTGGGGCCCTCTCCTGTCAGGAGCTGCCCAGGGTGGCTGCCCCCCACCAGCCAGCAGCAGAGACCCTTCAAGAGCCCCCCCTTGAGCCCATGGGTACCCCCATTGCCTGGACGTGCTCTCGGGAATCGATGGAGCAGAGATTCCATCCAGGGAAGTCTGCCCCTCACCTTCCAGGCCTGGCAGGTCGACGAGGCAGTGCCCGCTCGGGTTCCGGCAGGTTCTCAGGCAGGGGTCCCCGCACGGCTTGTAGTGCCACTCACACTCCCCGTGTGGGTTGTAGTAGTCGCAGAACAAGGCTGGGCACAGAGGGCAGAGGTAAAGAGGGGCCTGCTTGGCATGCGCCCGCCATGGTCTGCACAGGCAGCCCCAGCCGGCGCCTGGCCTGCGTCCCCAGGGCGAGTCTTGGGGCTGTCTCAGATGTGCAGGGCCCCGGGGGCTGGGCAGGAGCGTCTCATTCCCTGGCCCCACCCTTGGAACTGCTGTCCCTCCAGAGCCGCCTTGTTTTGGAGCGATCTGTCTTGTTTTCTTGCCCAGATCTACATTTGTGCGTACAGATGTGCACACACATGTAAGCGCACATGCGTGCGGGGCAGGCCCCAGGACTTGCGTGCAGCTTGGAGGCCTCCCACCACCTGGCCACTCCGCCCTTCAGTACCGCAGACAGAGCCCGACTCACGGCAGATGTCCGGAGTCCTCCAGGACACACACACAGCCACGTCGTGGCAGGCCTGAGCGTAGGCGGCCACGGCAGTGCAGAAACAGTCCCAGTCGCCCCCTGCATCACAGGCACATGCATCACTCATGCAAGCCTCATAGTACTTGGTGGAGTCGACCTGGCAGCAGAGGGACAACGTGCGGCTCAGCCAGGAGAGGCAGGGGCAGCTGGCCCCAAGAGAGTCCCTTGGAGCCGTTTGCATTTCAACCCCCCGGCAGTGAACTGAGATCCCTGACTCCAGGGGCCCTGAGTGCCTCGGAGTGTGTCCCAAATGGGAGCTGCCCCCAGCACTGCCATTCTGGCCCAACTGTGCACCTGCCCACCTGTGCACCTGCTCACCTGCCCACCTATGCACCTGCCCACCTGTGTACCTGCTCACCTGTGCACCTGTCCTCCTGTATAATTGCCTGCCCATGCACCTACTCACCTGCCCACCTGTGCATTTGCCCATCTGTGCACCCGCTCACCTGCCCACCTGTGTACTTGCCTTCCTGTACACCTGCCCACCTGTGTACCTTCACTCATGCCCCTTGGATCCTTTTATCACATTAATTTGGTCATGTGACCTGCAGGTTCCAAAGCCAACTTGGTCACACCTAGTCACCCCGTCCTTGTCCCCTGTCTGTCTCTGCTCCAGCTACGCTGGCCTCCTTCCCACCTGGGGGCTTTCCTGTCAGCTGGCTGGTCTTCTGGACTGCTGCTCCCCATACCCTGTAGTGGCTCCTGCTCAGGGACCTCTGCACAGAGGCCACCATCCTGCATCCCACCACCCTGCTGTCCCTCCTGAAGGTGAGCTCTGTGAGAGCAGGTTTTGTACCCAGACTGTGCCCTGAGGCAGGAGCAGGTGGCATCTAGTGTGGGAACCTTGCGGGCATCTCGTACCCTCCAGACCACGTGGTTAACCCTGTCCTGACAGTGAGAAGCTGCCTGCTTTCCTGGGGAGAGCTCCCCAACCCATGCTTCTCCCAAGTGGCAGACCCCAAGGTGGACCCAAGTTCTCACATCTGCCACCCAAGAGCCACCATCTGACTCTGAGGTCAGCCTGGTCAGGCCACAGAGGACCTCCTGAGCCAGTGAGCAGTGTGGCCAGAGGGGACAAGCATGAGAGGGACTCCGGGGTGCTGGGCACAAGCACACGTTCACTGCTGGCTGTTCCTACATGAGCTGCCTCTCGTTGCCACTCCAGGCCCTGACAGAAGGAGCTGTGCTCCTACATGGGCACTCAGGGCTTCGGTAAAATAACAGGAGAGTCCCTACTTAAGGCTGTTCACCAGTTCCTCCCTGGCTGGGCTAGAGAAGACCCTGCCACTGTCCTTGTGCGTGCTGGGGACTGGGCAGGTCTGGGGATCATGGAGGGGCCAGCTGGGGCCACATGGAGGGCAGGCCTCCCACTGGGAGCCTTTGAGTTCCTTGATCACTGAAGCCGTGGTCAAGGAAGTGGCCAGAAAACAGTGGAGACCGCTCCGTGCCAGGGCCATGGAACGTGGGTGGTGCCGTAGTGGGAGATCGAGACTCAGGACCTGGAAACCCAGGACTGTGGACCATGTGCTGTGCTCAGGGTCAAGACTGTCTTCAGAGGTCTGCTGTGCACCCAGCCTGGGCAGAACCAGCTCCCGGCAGAAAGAAGGAGGCAGCTGCTGTCTCTGCTGGCTCCTGCCCTGCAGTCCCAGAGCGCCCATCCTCCGCAGCCCCACACTGCCAGAGCCCCACCTGCGAGCGGCAGGCGGCGAACACGGGGCTGTTGATGATGCTGCACTGCTTCTGGGCCCAGGACTTGCGGTAAGGGTTGGTGGTGCAGGGGTCCTTGGGCGCCTGGGCGTCCGGGCAGGATGGGGAGAGCTTCCAGCTGTTTCCGAACTCCAGCGCGTTGCCCACCACGGACTGGGTCCGCGTGGTGAAGTCGTTGATGGCGTTGCCGTCAAAGTTCCCGCACAGGCCGCAGACCTTGCCCTGCAGAAGCAGAGACGAATGAAGCATGGCGAGCCTGGCCTGGGAGGCTCCAGGGCCCTCCGGGGACTGTAGGGACCAGTTCCCCAGGCAGCGCCCTGTGAAGTTGCAGGGGAATGGGGTGTAAAGTGGGTCCAGAGGTGGGCAGCACCTGCTCCCGCGTAGAATCCTCTGCCTCCCGTGGAGGCCAGAGAGCCAGGCCGTGTGCCAGCCAGGACTCTGGCACACCTGTTGGTCTCTTTAGTCCTGACCTGCCCCTTTCGGAAGCTAACACTGTGCATGGCCTCACAACAAAAACCTGGCTCGGGTTTTTCCAGGTGAGGACCAGCGCTCAGCAGCGTTGGTCTAGCAGTAGGGGCCCCATTCCCCCCGAGAAGGGCACTGCAGCCACTGAGCTCACCTTGTAGCCCTGGTGCAGTCGGATGAACACGCTGGTCTTCCGGTCCCAGGACACGACCATCCCACTGCGGGTCTCGATGACCAGGAAGATGCCCATGTAGCGAATCCTGTAGGGTGGGTCCCTGCCCGATCCCCTCTCCACCACTTTGAAGGTCCCCTCATGGAGGATCAGCTCATAGCCCTGGAGAGGGAGGTGCACACGGGGTGGCAGCTGCAGAGAGCTGAGGGCCTGCCCGGGGCCCCTGGGGAGGGCCATGATGCCCAGGCATGCCCCACCCAGGGCACAGGACTCCACAGGTGCTCAGGGGCTTTTGGTGTGAGGGGCTGGTGTTAGGGATGAGCCCAGCTCACAGACTCCTAGTGAAAGTTTGCTGAGAGACTGGGCAGGATGTGCTGGGAGCCAGGGAACACCGTGTGGCCACGCAGGCCCGCTGTGCCCAGCCTCTGTCCCGGCCAGCGCTGCGCCCACGCTGCCCCCACACTTGCCTGCTCTGGCTGCTGCCGCCTTCCTCGGCTCTTCCAGCCTTTTGGGGGGAAGCACCCCCCGGCCAGCAGCTCTGTTTTCTTCCCTGTGAACTCTGACCTCCCTGTGCTAGAAGCGTGTGTCCCTGGGTGTGGTGGGTGACTGGAGCCCCCACAAAAGATCTACTCACACTCTAACCCCTGGAGCCTGTGAATAGGACCTTATTTGCCCTGTGAACTCTGACCTCCCTGTGCTAGAAGCGTGTGTCCCTGGGTGTGGTGGGTGACTAGAGCCCCCACAAAAGATCTACTCACACTCTAACCCCTGGAGCCTGTGAATAGGACCTTATTTGGAAAAAGGGCCTTTGTGGATGTGATTAAGTGAAGGGTCTTGAAATGAGAGCATCCCAGATTACCCCGGGTGGGCCCTAAATCCAATGACCAGTGCCTTTATGAATGACAGAAGAGAGACACAGACACAGAGAGGAAATGGCCACATGAAGACAGAGGCAGAGATCAGAGTGATGTGGCCACAAGCCAAGGGACATCTGTAGCCACCAGAACTGGAAGAGGCAGGAAGGGTCCTCCCCTGAGTCTCTGGAGGGAGTGCGGCCCGGCCAACCTTGACCTCAGACTCTGGCCTGCGGGAACGTGTTACGGCAGCCCTGGGACAAACTGCAGCAGGAGAGCCCATGTGTGGACTTGGGGCCGCTTTGCAAACCTTCCCTTCAGGCTGGGCCCCGTCAGCTGTAGAGGGCAGGAGGCGGTTCCCGGTGGTCCGATGTGTGCTCTCACCTCCACAAAGAGCCTGATGGCCTTGGAGCAGGTGAAACCTGTGGTCCCGCAGGGGATGTTCTCAGTGATGATGCGGAAGGTCCCGTTGGTGGTGGCGTTGACCCCACAGTAGTCCTGGGACAGAAAGAGACCAGGTGCTGGTCACGGGCTGGCGAGCCCAGCCTGAGGGAGCGTGTGGGGTCCACATACCTGGGCCAGCGTGTACTCGCAGCTGCCTTCGAAGTTGTAGCGCTCGCTGTCAAAGGTGATAAAGTGGCCGTCCCCATAGGCCACACAGGTGCCCAGGCAGGGCTGGTGGCTGCACTCCCATCTGCGATTCCTGCAGGTGCTGCGAGGAGGGAAAAGTGCCTGCTCAGGGGGGTCCTGCCCCCCGAGACTGGCCCAGGTCCCTGCAGATGCCGCTGCACTGCAGTGCCATGCCTGGGTTCACAGCGGGAACGAGGGAGGGCCTTGCCTCGGGCTCAGCCAGTTTCCGAGGCCTCAAGACCCAGCCCCTCCTCCAGAGGATAGGGTCCCGGGCAGTGCCCCCTCCTGTGAGGAGCCGGATGGAGCAGTGATTGGGGCCAGGGGGCACCTTCCCGAGGACCCACAGAAGGGCAGGCTCCCCCCTCCTGCTGGGGTTCCCATCTGGCCAAGGCCAGATCAAGCTTCTGTCCCTGTGGTCCCCACGCCCACTGCCTCAAGAGGCCTGTGACCCACCAGGTGTTGCAGTCGACCCTGATGGTCTCCCCGGGCTGGTAGGTGGCCTCGTTGTGCATGCACGGGCAGGCGTCCTCGGCCACACAGCCCCCACTCCCATCTGACACCAGCCCAGCGGGGCACACGCAGCCGGAGACGCAGTGTGTGCTGAACTGTGGACACAGGTGGGCCCTGGTCAGGGAGGGGCCGGGACACAAGACGAGTGGATGCCCTCCATCCTGGGGGTGCCCGGGCCTAGGACAGACACATCAAGCGGCTCCCAGGCAGCATTGTGGGCTGGGGCAGAGGCCATGCAGGGGCAGACCTTCCAGGGTCAATGAAGCCCACAGCTGGTGGCCCTGCAGTGACACAAGGACTGCCCAGACCCCTGGGCCCAGGAACACTGAGAGCCTCATCCCCTGCCCTGCCAACCCTGCCCGCAGCACAGATGGGGCCCAGGAAGACTCACGCAGTCCACGTCCAGCGTGTGGCAGCTCCTGAGGCACTCGGCACCGGGGGTGCCGGCCGAGGCGTTGCTGCAGTCCAGGTACACCATGGGGACCTTGCACCCTGGGGAGGTGGAGCCCAGTGCCTGTCCTGACCCACCCTAACCCAGTCCTGACCTCATCTTGACTGCATCCTGACCCCACCCTGACCCACCCTGACCTCATCCTGCTGATGGAGGTTTTGACCACTCAGGCTGCTTTGGATGATGCCCTGGCTGGTGCAGCCCACGACCCCTAAGCCCAGGGCACCCCTTGCCGCTGCTGGGCAGAGACCTGCCGGCCCCTTCTTGCCCTGGAGCCTCTCGACGTGGGCACCTTCCACAGGGTCCATGTGCGCACTGACAGGGGCCTAGGCAGGGCTCAGACGGGGCGTTACCTGTATCTTTCTGCAAGGTGGCTCCCAGGCAGCTCAGCTTCCCCCTCGCACACGAGCTATGAGACATGGACGACCTGGTCTGGACCCGCGCCCACCCCCAGAGACCCCACCCCGGGCTTCCTGCACCTCGCCGAGTGTGAGGGTGCCAGCTAAGTACAGCACGGTGGGCAAGACGAGGCCCTCAGCTCCTACGGGAGCCGCCTTTGCGGCCAGGGCGGCAGTGGGGGCCGGGGCACTCTCCCGGCGGGGAGGCCTGACAGGAGGCCCCCCTCAGTGTCTGGAAATACTCCGGGGGAGGCACAGAGTCCTGTGGGTGTGGGGAAGTGCAGCCAGAGACCCCACCTGCCTGGGGTACCAGGGACCCCGGCCCAGCCCACGCCCCTCCTCACCACACCGCGTCGCTGTCGTGCACGACCTCTCCAGGAGCCACCACCGTGCCTTGGAAGTAGCAGGGGCAGTCCTGGGCGGGCACGCATGTGCCGGCCTCGTCCAGAAAGGTGCCCGCGCGGCAGGTGCAGCCGTCCACTGGCACGAAGGAGACACTGCAGGTGACGTCGGCCTCGCTCAGGGCACGGCAGGAGGGCTGGCAGGCGTCCACCACGTACGCGTAGCTCAGGGACTTGGGGCAGCTGCTCATGTACTTGGCTGCGGTCAGCAGGGGCAGGGGAGACAAAGAGGTTGGTGGCTGGGGCCTGGTCCAGCCCCTGCTTTGTCCCATCACAGACTCAGTGTCCCCATCTGTGTGATGCAGGAATCTGAGGAGCATGCACACTTTGTGCAATGCAAAGCTCTCTGCTGAGAAGAGGTTGACCGACAGGTTCTTCCCGCCCCTGCCTGGCGAGGCCCACACGTCCCACCCCACGAGGGACGTGCCCGGCTTGGCCACCACTCACTGCAGACGCCGCCCCTCCAGCCGCTGAGCAGCACGCCCTTGGCGGCGCAGGCGTGCACGTAGGAGGACAGGGCCGCGCACAGACAGTCTTCGCTCTTCTCACAGTTGCACGTGTCGAACATGCAGTTCTGGGGGTCAAGGGTCAGGGGTCAGGGGTCAGGGCCCCCAGCCCACCAGGGTCCCCTGTTGCTCCGTCCCTCCTTCCCGTCGAGCCTGCTGAGGGCTGGGAACTCTGCCCATGAGGAGGAACCGCAGGAGGCTGGGCATCAGGAAAAGGGTTGGGGGCCAGTGGGGCAGCTGGAAGCTTCTGGAAAAGCGGCCAACGAACCAACTGTTGTGGGTTGAATTGTGTCCCCTAGAAAGGTGTGCTGGAGTCCTAGCCCCCAGGCCTGGCCTGTGAGTGGGGCCTTATGTAGAAACAGGGTCTTTGCAGGTGTGACCCAGTGAAGAGGAGGCCGGGAGGGGGCTGAGTCCAGCAGCTGGTGTCCTCAGAAGGAAACTTAGGTACAGACACCAAGTAGAAGCCGTGGACGGAGAGACTGGGGGGATGTGGCCACGCACAGGCTGCTGGCCACCACACACTAGGAGAGGCCAGGAGGGACCCCGAGAGCCACAGCGTGACTGAGGTCACCGCCTCCAGCACGGAGGGAACCCGTTCTCTCATGTTCAGCCACCACGCCAGCCCTGGGGGACAAGCACAGCAGAGCTTCCCAGCGGGGGTCCCCAGCGGCTCATGGCCTCTCACCGAGTGGAAGGGCGCGGGGTTGACGGTGGAGTGGCACTGCGAGAATGCGCCAGCGGGATCTGTCAGCCGCGAGCACCAGTGCAGGGCGTAGTTCTCTGTGGGGGGGGATGGCCGAGTGGGCGCTGCCCCCTCACCCCACCCCAGCAGCCCGCACTCCCGGCTCCACCCCGGGAACAGCACATTGAATTGTGGGGCCAACCCCACTGGGCTGCGGGGTGCTGCCGGCCTGTCCCTGTCTGTCCTGCCCCCTAACCTGCAGCTTCGCGTCCCCAAGCCCTCCTCCTGTTCCTGCCTGCCATGCACACCTGCCTATTTGGGGCCCCCAAAGCCCCGCCTCATGGGTCCCCATGGTGCAGGGGTCAGGAAGGGCTTCCTCGGGGGGGCCTTGAGCTCCAGGCACTGCCCCAGGGTGACCGAGGGTCGTGGGGGTGGTGGGTACCGTTCTCCACACTCAGGGAGCAGGGGTCCTCCAAGCTGTTCTTGACGTTGGGGCAGGAGGCCTGGGTCTTCCAGGTGTTGGCGAAGGCGGCAGCCGTTCCCTCCACCACCCCGCTGAGCGCCGTGAAGTCGTCGGCCTGGTTCTGGTTGAAGTTCCCGCATAGGCCTGGGGGCCGGGGCAAGGGTGTCGGTAGGCTGCCAAGCTGGGCACTTCTCCCCCACCCGGCTGTGCCTCCTGGCACTGCCACCAGGTGGGCAGGTGGGGCAGCCCCTTCCCAGAACCACCTGCAGATGACCCTGGGAGGCCTGTGCACAGCCAGCCTGGATCAGGGCAGCGGGCTGGCTCTCTGTCCTCCCATCGGATGTCGGGTGTCCGGGGCTGGGGCTGGGGTCTCCCCGACCTCCGTGTGCTGCAGCCTCTCCCCACCACCCCGTCCTCTTGCAGCCTGGAGCTCAGTCCAGGTCCCCCCGCCCCTGCCTCTCCAAGCCCACCGCTGAGCGCCTCACCGCACGTCTGCCCGCGGTGAGAGGGGTCCAGCCTGAGGAACACCTGCATGAGGGGCACCAGCTGCACCTGCACCTGCAGGCCGATGCCCGTCTGCACCACCACGAAGAAGGTCGACGGTCTGAAGATGGTGATGTTGGCTGGGGGAGGGAGGCATGTCAGGAGCGCACGGGGGCCAGGCCTGGCCAGACTCAGGGGCAGTGCTGGGCCCAGGCTGGTGTCTGGTGGGCCACCACCCCACCAGGGGCTCGGGTGCACACTGCCACGTGTCCGTGGGCTGCCGAGCGGGCCGGGCCATACGTGGTGGCTGATGCTGCCTGAGAGGCCGGGACGGGGCTTGCTGGACACGGGTCCCCACTTTACAGATGAGAAAGTGGACCGTGGGATGTTCTGAAACTTCCCAAGGCCACAAAGAGCTAGTGAGGGGTGGAGCTGGGTGCTGCCTGGGCTCCGGAGGCCCACCCTGGCCCAGCTGCCCCGGGAGCTGCGTACCTGCCGACACAGGCAGCTGGGTGTAGATGGAGTTCATGAACACGCCGCCATTGGCCTGGACCCGGATGGCCTGGCAAGGGAGCAGAGAGCAGCCTGCTGGGTCACCCCCTTGGGGACAGCTGGGAGGGGAGCTTGGGCCTCCGCCTACAGCCAGCTCCAGAACTGCCCTGGGAGGTGGCTGACCGGGGGCCCAGGGTGGGAGGAGGGGGTGAAGCCCCTCTTTGCTCCTCATCCCAGCCCAGGGGGTGTGGGCGGCTCGGCCAGGCTGGACCCTCACCGTGTCCCCACCGCTCAGGCTGAGCGTCACCGTCTTGAGGCAGTTCTCGTTGTCAGTCAGACCGCATTTCCGCAGCTCGGCCAGCACGGTGAAGGCACCGTCAGCACATGTCTGATGGGGCAAACCCACCAACGTGTTGGGGTCCATGTGTGAGGGTATGGGGTGCCCCTGTGCCCGCACGGGGGGCAGATGTGGCTCTGGGGGGAGGTGGCCCCTGGCCCCTCTGGTCACCTGCAGGCAGCTGGTCTCAGGGCTTGGGGGCTTCCCCCTCAGAATGGGCATTCCTTACTCTGATGGCCATCACACGACCCTTCCCCAGGGCGGAGGGGGCTGAGGGTCCCAGCAGTCGCACCTTGGACAGGATGTAGCTGCAGTCCCCATGCACGTCGTAGAGCTTCTCATCGTAGGTGGAGATGTGGGACCCACCAAGGACGGAGCAGGTGCCGGGGCATGGCAGGTCCTCACACTGCCACAGCCCCCCGGAGCAGGTGCTGGGGGGACAGGCCGTGAGTGGAAGCGGTGCCACGGGTGAGGAGGTGGGCCCCACCATGCACCCCACCCCTGGCGGGTGGCCGGGCATACCAGGAGCTGCAGCTGGTAGTGAAGGAGGCCCCTGGCGCATAGGTGTGGCCGCCATGACGGCAGGAGCACTGCTGCAGGGACACGCAGCCTGACTGCGTGATGTCATCCAGCACCGTGCCTGGGGGTGAAGAGGTGCCTCTGAGAAGACCCCAGCCTCAGGACGAGCTGCCTCCTGTGGGGAGGGGCCCCCAGACTGGGCTGCCACCCTGAGCCCCACCTGCTTGGGACAAGCACTGAGCTCCTCTCGGCCTCAATTTCCCCACCTGGTCCCCTCCCTCCATGGGCCAGCAGGTCTTCTGGCTTTGTAATGGCCAGTGTCCACCTTGTCCTTGACCCATGGGAGGGGCCGGCCGGCCCTGCTGGTCGAGGCTTGGCTGGGTGTGGGGAGAGTGACCAGAAGGCAGCACGGTGGGAGGTGGGGGTGTGGGGGGCCCTGGGCATGGCAGGACCTGCCTGGGGGACAGAAGCAGCCGTCCATGCAGTGGTCCTCGCAGAGCTGGGAGCGCTGGGGGTTGGAGCAGGTGTCCCCACAGGGCGAGCTGCACTCCTGGGGCTGCATGTTGTGGGGGCACGTCCGGGCTGCGAGGGGAGGAGGCAGTGCTGGGTCCAAGGAGCAGCCCAGATGCTCCTGGCCCCGGCCTAGGAGCACATCTTCTGAGTGAGGCAGGAGGCAAGGAGCGCAGGCCGAGCACCTCCCGGCATGGCCGTCCCCTCTACCCATGCCCACTTGAGGCCACAGCTGCCCGGGGAGACCCCACCCTTGCCAGGGGTTCTGGGCTCAGCTCTGCCTCACTGTGCTGGGGGCCGGGTCCTCCCCTGGGCCTGATGGGGACCTTCACTCCTAGTGCCCCAGGCCTGTGTCTTCCCCCAGCTCTCCCCAGCCCGTCCTCTCTCCTCCTCACCTACCCTCTCACTACCACACCCTGGGCGGCTCCCTCTGCCCTGCGTCCCCAGCCAGACACCAGGCATGGCGGATTGCTATGGGTTAAATGTGTCCCCCAGAAGTTCATGTTTTAGAAAACTTGATTTCTATTGCAACAGCGCTAAGGGGGTGGAAAATCCAATCATGGTCATTGAAAGGTGGGGCCTTTATAGGTGATTAGATTGTGAGGACTGTGCCCTTGTGAAGGGACTGGTCCTTTCGTGGAGTCACGGACATGGTTCCAATGGCTTTACAAGGAGAGCAGGTGAGAAGCCTAGCTCTCTCTTGCTCAGCCCATTCATGCCAGGTGACACCCTGCGTTGCCACAGAATCACCTCCAGATGTGTTCTGTGAACCTTGGACTACCCAGCCTCCAAAACGGTAAAGTAGAAATTTAATTTCCCTAGAAATTACCCAGTTTCAGGAATCCTTTTATAAGCCACAGAAATGGATAACATGGGGCACTCACGGCAGAAGTCAGGGCCCCGCCAGTTGTGTGGCTGGCCCCCTGCATGGGCGCACTGGCGGGAGTACTCAGCAAAGGTGGCACAGGGGCAGGTGGGGCAGCGGCACAGGTCCTGGACACAGGCGGCCACATAGGCATCAGCGTCCACCAGGGTGTTGCACTCAGTGAAGGCCTGGCCCAGCAGAGTGTGGCGGCAGATGCCCTCCTGGGGAAACAGTGAGGCTGGCACCCTCTGTCCTCCAAGCAAGAGTGCCACAGTGCTCACACGAGGACCCCGTCCTTGCAGACCAGACCCGGGAGCCTCTTTGTTCCCCTCCTGGTTCTTTCTATTCATCCATCCACTAGTCCCTCCTTCCACCTGTTCATCCATCCATCTGCCCACCCATCCATTTGTTCCTCCGTCCACCCACTTACCCACCCACTACCCATCCATCATCCACCCATCCTTCTGTCCACCCACCCATCCACCCACCCATCCTTCTATCCATCAACCCATCCACTCATTCATCCATCCATTTACCTGTCCATCCATCCATCCACCCACTTACCCACCCATCCCTCCATCCATTCATCTATTCCTCCATCCACCCACCCATTCATCCTTCTATCCATCCGTCCACCCATTCATCCATCCACCCATCCAGCCTTCTATCCATCCGTCCACCCATCCATCCTTCTATCCATCCGTCCACCCATCCATCCATCCACCCATCCATCCATCCATCCACCCGTCCATCCACCCATCCATCCACCCATCCATCCACCCATCCATCCACCCATCCATCCACCCATCCACCCATCCATCCACCCATCCATCCATCTATCCATCCGTCCACCCATTCATCCATCCACCCATCCATCCTTCTATCCATCCGTCCACCCATCCATCCATCCACCCATCCATCCATCCATCCATCCACCCATCCATCCATCCATCCATCCACCCATCCATCCATCCATCCATCCACCCATCCATCCATCCATCCATCCACCCATCCATCCATCCATCCATCCACCCATCCATCCATCCATCCATCCACCCATCCATCCATCCATCCATCCACCCATCCATCCATCCATCCATCCACCCATCCATCCATCCATCCATCCACCCATCCATCCATCCATCCATCCACCCATCCATCCATCCATCCATCCACCCATCCATCCATCCATCCATCCACCCATCCATCCATCCATCCATCCACCCATCCATCCATCCATCCATCCACCCATCCATCCATCCATCCATCCACCCATCCATCCATCCATCCATCCACCCATCCATCCACCCATCCATCCATCTATCCATCCGTCCACCCATTCATCCATCCACCCATCCATCCTTCTATCCATCCGTCCACCCATTCATCCATCCACCCATCCATCCATCTATCCATCCATCCACCCATCCATCCACCCATCCATCCATCCATCCATCCACCCATCCATCCATCCATCCATCCACCCATCCACCCACCCATCCATCCACCCATCCATCTATCCATCCATCTACCTGTTCATCCATCCAGCCAGCCACTCATCCATCCATTCATCCACTCACGCATCATTTTACCCAAACACTGTGAACTTGGTGCCTGAAGGTGCAGAGCTCTGCTTGGCTCTGGGGGAATGATCCATGACTCTGGACTCCCCCTACCTCCCAGAGCTCCAGGACACACCTGCCCATGGTATGAGCATTCAGGAAAGGTGTAGACTCTGTCCCCGGAAGGAGGCTCAGGGAAAGGGGAGGCAGAGACACCAGTCCATCCTCAGGTGGCCTCAGCAGGCTCAGTGCTGGCCATTGATGAATGTCCCCCTTCTCAGGCCCCCCAGACCATCTGGGTCTGGGGCCATGGCTCCCAGGGTTTTGATGTTCTCATTCATTTAATGATTTAAGTTTTGGGGAGTCTGCTTGTTCAGGGACCCTGGAGCTTATAGGCCACTTCCAAAGGTGGGGTCCTGCCCACTCATGGGGGGGAGCTTCTTGCTCTGGGATCCCTGAGTGCCCACCCTGGCCTGGCCTGTGCGGGTGTGGGTACAGATGTGCTGACACAGATGGGCATGCGGCACGAGGTGCACACAATTAGAACGTGTGTGCCATGGTGCATGTGGTGAAACTGCCCACAGAATATGCACCTGCCCTACTGTCCCCAGACCTAGACACCTCAGTCCCATCTCTTACCCCGTCACCCAGGGACGCTGCTCAGACCTTGCCCGAGTCTCCCCTGGTCCCACTCTCAGTCCCACCAGGCTAGCCGCCTGAGGGGCGGGGGCTGCAGGCCCTGAGAGGATGCTCACCTCATCTGTGCAGTTGTCAGCCGGTGAGGGCAGGGGGTCCTGGCACTGCTCCATGGGGCCGTTCAGCTTTTGCAAGTTCCCAAACTGGACAGGGGTCAGCCTGGCATCTGCCGGAGAGAAAATGCTCTGTGCGGGTTGCCCTGAGGGGCTCTGGGGTCCAGGGGTTGAGCTCCTCCTCCCTGAGGCTGACTGCCAGGGGCCCCTCTACCCGTGCCAAGGACCTGACACCCCCTCAGGGTGTCCCTCCTCCCCGGCCTTGCTCCCTGCCCCTTGCCCTCACTCTGCCCTCTCCTGCCTCCTGGGACACTGGGCCACCACCCCCGATTCTGTGTGGTGCTCACTGTGGGCGTAGAACTCGTTGACAGCCCGGAGCCCGTTGAAGTCCCCGCACAGACCGCAGGTCTGGTTGGCGTACTTGGGGTCCAGCTCCAGCTGGGGGGGTGGGGGAGCAGCTGCGGCCTCAGAGCCTGTGCCCACCTGGCTGCGTAGCCCACCCAGCAGGGACCCCAGCCCCGTGATCCCACGGGCCAGTCAACTCTCCCCCCACCCACCATGG